AGGCCACTTGGCCCCAGGGATAACACCATTCTCCCCGACTCCTAGTGGGGCCCAAGTTCTTTAGTATAAATCCCAGCTCCTCCACCTGCTAAGCTGTGTGACCTCGGGCAAGCACATCAGTGTCCTCATCTTGACAACAGTCCCTGCTTTACAGGGTTTTCAGATTAAATGAGTTGCCTTTTGTAAAGAGCCTAGAAGAATGACAGGTACATGGCAAGCACCACTAAATACATTTTTTTCTCTCGGCTAAAGGAACCCCTGCATCCAAGAGACACTGCAGCAGCTGCTATTCTGTGGGACAGTGTTTGTTAAGGTTCTTAGTCCAAGGTCCATAGTGAGAGATATGAACATGCGCGCTCTCTCTCTCTCTCTCTCTCTCTCTCTCTCTCTCACACACACACACACACACACACACACACACACACACACACTGACAATTTCTGTTCTACTGTTTTCTACCCAGTTCTGCACAACTCTGCTTGACTCTTTTCCACTCTACACAAATCAGTATTTCATTATCTTCTTTTTTGCCCTAATTCATGGCATTTATTACGGTTATCACTTTACGTTTCTCTGTGGGATTCATGAATTAATGCCTGTCCAACCAAACCCCATCCCTACCCCTCAAAACCCAGGCAAACTTTTTCTTCAAGGTCCAGCTGGGAAGTCTCTGAGGCTTTGCAGGCGATACGGTCTCTGCTTTGCCTACTCCACTCAGCCGCTGCAGCACAAAAGCAGCCACAGACAGTACACGAGCCAATGAGCCTTTACAAAAACAGCTCTCTGGCCTGCAGGCTAGTGTGTGCCAACTCTTGCCCCAGACTGCGGGCTCCATGGGGGCAGGACCTCGTCTATTCTTATTCACCATTTATCCCAGCCCCTATAAGAGTCCTTGACATACAGTAGGTGCTCAATTAACACTGGCTGAGGAAATACAGGCTGACCTCACAGACATCTTNATACAGTAGGTGCTCAATTAACACTGGCTGAGGAAATACAGGCTGACCTCACAGACATCTTTTTCAGAACTACATTGAATACCTGTTTTTGCCCCTAAACCTCCATCCTCCTTTCTCCTCCCCAATTTCCCATTGGGGGATCACCCAAGCTCCAGGGGGCATGTTGACCTGGCTTTGCCCCTCTGCTTTTGGTGGGCATGTGATGCCAGCCTGGCTCATCTGATATGGACTAACTGGCTCTGGGATGGTCCCATGACTCCAGCTGGGATAATAAGTGTGAAGCCTGGGAATCTGGCTGGAGCTGTGTGATAAGAGGAGACCGAGCTGGCCAAGATGGTGGGGGGGGCAAGCCTCCTCCTGCTGGTGACTCCTGTGCAGGAAGACTCTACTGGTGGTCATCTGCGAGCCATGTATGGAGGAAAGCCACATGGAGACACAGAATGTCGGACACTGACATCACTGTTTGGACCCCTGTGCAGTAAAGGGTGAACTCAGCAGGCCTCGGGTGTCTGAACTCTACATGTTTCAAAGAAAGGACTGATCCTCGACTGGTTCCTGGGAGATAGCTTTTAAGCTCTTGAAATGTCCTGCCTAATAAAGAGTGTGTTTGTTTATCTGGACCTTGGACCATAGCAGATAGGCTATGATATCAAAGACGTGATTACAAAGTGATTCATGGCCGCAGGCCATGAGGTATTAGTTTGATCTCTGGAGGGGCTGGCGACTGAGGGACTAAGGTCAGCCATGTGGCTGCTCCTTGCCTGTGTGATCAACCCCCAGTAAAGATCCTGGATGACAAGGCTTGGGTGGCCTCCCCCGATCGGCAATGTTTACTGAGTTACTGTCAGAAGCAGGCGCTATCCACACAAATCCATCGGGAGAGGGCAACTGGAAGCTTGTGCCTTATCTCTCCTGGACTCTGCCTTATACGTCTTCACCTTTGCTCATTTTAATCTGTATCATTTTATGGTAATAAACTGTAACTGTGAGGATAACAGCTTTTCNATACAGTAGGTGCTCAATTAACACTGGCTGAGGAAATACAGGCTGACCTCACAGACATCTTTTTCAGAACTACATTGAATACCTGTTTTTGCCCCTAAACCTCCATCCTCCTTTCTCCTCCCCAATTTCCCATTGGGGGATCACCCAAGCTCCAGGGGGCATGTTGACCTGGCTTTGCCCCTCTGCTTTTGGTGGGCATGTGATGCCAGCCTGGCTCATCTGATATGGACTAACTGGCTCTGGGATGGTCCCATGACTCCAGCTGGGATAATAAGTGTGAAGCCTGGGAATCTGGCTGGAGCTGTGTGATAAGAGGAGACCGAGCTGGCCAAGATGGTGGGGGGGGCAAGCCTCCTCCTGCTGGTGACTCCTGTGCAGGAAGACTCTACTGGTGGTCATCTGCGAGCCATGTATGGAGGAAAGCCACATGGAGACACAGAATGTCGGACACTGACATCACTGTTTGGACCCCTGTGCAGTAAAGGGTGAACTCAGCAGGCCTCGGGTGTCTGAACTCTACATGTTTCAAAGAAAGGACTGATCCTCGACTGGTTCCTGGGAGATAGCTTTTAAGCTCTTGAAATGTCCTGCCTAATAAAGAGTGTGTTTGTTTATCTGGACCTTGGACCATAGCAGATAGGCTATGATATCAAAGACGTGATTACAAAGTGATTCATGGTGGGGGCCGTAGGCCATGAGGTATTAGTTTGATCTCTGGAGGGGCTGGAGACTGAGGGACTAAGGTCAGCCATGTGGGTGCTCCTTGCCTGTGTGATCAACCCCCAGTAAAGATCCTGGATGACAAGGCTTGGGTGACCTCCCCCGATCGGCAATGTTTACTGAGTTACTGTCAGAAGTAGGCGCTATCCACACAAATCCATCGGGAGAGGGCAACTGGAAGCTTGTGCCTTATCTCTCCTGGACTCTGCTTTATACATCTTTTACCTTTAGCTCATTTTAATCTGTATCATTTTATGGTAATAAACTGTAACTGTGAGGATAACAGCTTTTCAAAGTTCTTTGAGCCCTTGCAGCAAATCATTGAACCTGAGGCGGTCTTGGGGCCCCCTGACTCAGCTCTGGATCCAGTTGCACCTGAAGTCTTGTATCTTTTAACCATGTTAGTTAGAGTCAGATTTTTTCATTACATGCTACCTAAAAATCCTAGCTCACAAAGGTTGGGCTGATGGGCCCCATTTTACAGATGCAGAAAACTGAGGCCCAAACAGAAGAAGTCACTTGTCCAAGCAGATCAAGCCCTAAGGCCCTGTCCTCTCACTGCTCGGGACACCTCCCCTGGCTGCCCTCACCTTGATAAAGAGCCGCCACCACTGCCAGTGCCTCAGCTTGAGGTAGGCCGCACAGTTCCGCTGCATCACCCTCAGGGCACTCTGCTGCTGCTGCCGCTTCTGAAAGGCCCTGGGTGGGGAGGTGGGTGAGTAGGAGAGTGGAGGCTCAGCCCCTCCAGGACCTGCCCCCTTAGCAAGGGAGCCAAGCTCCTTTCACTTAGCCATTATTAAATGCTTCTTGTGTGCAGATACCATTCTATTATTGGTAGATCTTATCGTGTTCAGCCCTTTAGTCTTCCTGCCCTTGACTTTCTCTGCCCTGTCACATAGCCCCAGCCCCAGCCCAGGCCTCATCCTCCCCCACATGGACCCTCACCCCAGCCTCTTCCTCAGCCTCCAGTCTTTCCTCTCAGTCCATCCCTGACATGGCTCCTGAGGAGTCTTTCTACACCCAGAGCTGGCCCACTCCTTCCATGCTTACAGCCCTCCCACAGCTCCTCAACACCCCAGGACAGAGTCCCTACCCTTCAGCCTCATGTTTGGAGCATCTTTCCTGCCACTCCTTTTATTCTTCAAGCCACTTCTTAGGAGGAAGGAGACTATCCCCCAAACTTCTTGCATTCCTGAAATGTTCCAGGCTCTCACAACACTGGGCCTTTGCACAAGCTGTCTCTCCTGCTTGGAACTTTTCTGCTCTCCCTCATCTACCTGGCCATCAAGTGACCTGGGGAAAGCCTTGGCCTGAAGAGGGCTTCCTCACTGCACTTCTACAATACCCATCAAAGCACATCTCATCCTGGACTGTGACTCTTCGTGCCCACTTACATCTCTCCTCCACACGGAGTCCCTTGAGGGATTAGCCAGGTAGGGTGAACAACTTGAGCTGGTTTGCCCTGGGCTTTTTCTGTTGTAGCACAGAATGTTCTGCATCCTGGGAAACCCAATCCCAGATGAACCAGGGTGGTTGGTCACCCTGTGGCCAAATCTGCCTCTTCACTGTGTCCCCAGCATTACTCAGCACTGGGCCTGGCCCACAGGAGCCGTAGGGACTGTAGAACCAAGAAGTCTGGGCACCCAGCGACTCCATACACTTGTTTCTCAGCTCTTCCACCATCCTGTGGGCCCTGAGACCTGTGGCCATCCAGCCAACCCCTCCCTGACCCAGCCTCTGGGGCCATCCAGCCAACCCCTCCCTGACCCAGCCTTGGCCAACAGGACCCAAAGAGACAGCATGGTACCTGCGAGCCATGTATCCCCTGGCAGCTGCCTGGAAGGACACGATGATGTCTGTGACCTTCAGGTCCCGTTCCTCTTCCAGCTGGGCCAGGACCCCTGCCCGGAAGAAGATCTTGCTCTGTCCCACACGGTAGAGGTTGGGGTCCAGCTCCAGGGCCTGGATCTGTGAGGGGTGGAGGAGAGGAGTGATGAAGGGGGAGGGGTGATGGGGAGGGAGGGGTGATGGGGATGAGGACGTAAGTCCCAGCCTGGGCCCCTGCACTCCCTCAGACAGCACTCCACGCTCACCATCTTCTCACAGGCTTGCTTCCCATCCATAAAGCCCTTGGGGATGGCATTGGGTGTCAGGATTTCATACCTGCAGCAGGGGGGCGGAGAGTTATAGCACACTGTGGCTGAGTGCCTGCTGCGGCTGGGCACTGGGCTCAGAGTGACAAATAGTGATGACACAATGACAATAACAAGAACAGTATCAAAAACTAACATTCAAGCTTTTACTGAGCACCACACGCTGTGGTAAGAGCGTTACCACCACCACCAAGGACACCAGCACTGACAGTAAATGCTCCCACTCCTGGACGCTTACTGAGCGCCGTTTATGAGAGTCTCATTACGCTCTCCCACAGTTCACTGATTTTTTTTTCTTCTTTTTGTCCCCCCCGCCCAGAGCTGGCCAGCATGGGGATCTGAGTCCTTGACCTTGGTGCTACCAGGCTGGGCTCTAACCAGCTGAGCCAACTGGCCAGCTCTGACACTTCACTGAGATTTAAAACAGAGGTGCATCTCAGAATGCAAATGTGTCATCGCTTCTCGGCCTTTTGGCTAAGATCAAGTGCAGAATGCAAATGTGAGAACGACGAACAGCAGCTGACGTCTGCTGAACGCTTATTATGAGTCAGGGTCTGGGTGAAATGCTTTACAGCAGTTTCTCTCAAATTTCTGAGAGCGACTCGGGACAAAACAATACATTTTGTATAAGCACATGTGTCTGTCCTCAGAGACTCTGCCCCTACTGTGCCCTCTCATGGGATCTTGACATTTTAGGTAAAACAATAATGCATAAGATATATACAATATATACACACATATGTCATATACATAATATATAAGTCATATATAATATGCATTATTTTATGACTGGTGATAGAGAAACTTTGATACGTGTACATTTATGTGGATTTTTCCTTGTATTTAATTTTAACCAAGTAATATTTAAATTAAAAAACTGAAGCAGTGTAAAATATTTTTGTGTTATACACAACTTTGTGGTTTTAATAGAACATGTCACTTTGTTTTTTTTTTAATTTTCCTTTTTTTGTCTTTTTTCATGACCGGCAACAGATCGCAACCCTCAGTGTCGCGCCCATACTGGACCGGGACCGGCAACGGGATCGCAACCCTCGGTGTTGCTCCCTGCACCTCGCTCAGCCAGTGAGCGGGAACCGGTCTGTATGTGGGATCCGAACCCTCGGTGGGAGCGCCACCACGCTTCCCAAGCGGCGCACTGTAGCAGTGCACCACCGGGCCGGCCCATAGAACATGTCACTTTGATCACTGGAAATTTAGTGCCCAAACTGAGATGCACAGGAGTACGAAATACTGGATTTCAAAGACTTGGTAAGAAAACAGAATGCAAAATATCTCATTCCTGATTTTATTTTATTTTTATTATACTTTTTATTTATTCCATCTAAACTTATTTATTTATTTATTTATTTTGCCAGCTGGCCAGTAACACCTTGACCTCGGTGCTATCAGCAGCACACTCTAACCAAGTAAACTAACTGGACAGCCTACTTTTTAAAAATATTGATCACATGTTAAAATTATCTAACATTTTGTACACACTGGGTTAAATAAAATACCTTGTTAAAATTAATTTTGGGCTGGCCGGTTAGTTCAGTTGGTTAGAGTGTGGTTTTATAACACCAGGGTCAGGGATTCGGATTCCTGTACTGGCTAGCCAAAAAAAAAATTAATTTCGCTAGTTTCATTTTACTTTTTAAAGCATGGCTACTAAAAAATTTTCAATTGTATACGTGGCTCACGTTCTATTTCTAAGGGACAGCACTGTTATATACGGTTTGTGGAAAGCATTTATGATATAATATTTTCCATGTTACTTGCTTTTTAGACTCCATTATTTTCTGTTCAATCTCATTATACCTCATTTTAAAAGAAGTGCAGATTGCAACACACCGTAGCGATTTCACGTTCATGGTTTGGGGACCACCGCCCTAATAGCAGCAGCAACGCACCCAATACCCCTTAGTGCTACGTGCACTTTCTCTGGGGAGTGCATCGAGTTGTGATATTGCTCTTCCATAACACGGAGGAGGAAACTGAGGCTCAGTAATGTGAGCAACTTGCCCGAAGTCCCCCACTTCAGAAGCAGCAGTGAGGGGGGTTGAACGCAGGTGTAGTCGCTTCCACACCCGAGCCCGACCCAGCCCCTCCACCCGGCCGGGCCCGCTCACCGCTGCCGGAACTCCTGGAAGAGGATACGGTTGGGGAAACCCTGGCGACAGATGCGGATGCCTTCCAGGACACCGTTGCAGCGTAGCTGGTCCAGCACCAGCCGTGGCTCCAGCTTCCCAGCCTGCAGACAGCAGGACAGACACGCGGGGTCAGTGGCGGCCACCAGGAGGCGCCATTCATAGGACCACAGTCAGGCGAAAGCAAGTAGGAAGGCATGGTTTTTTTTTTTTTTTTTTTTCTTTTTGTCTCTTTTTTCGTGTCCGGCAATGGACCGCAATCCTCAGTGTCGCGCCCGTACCTGACCGGGACC